ACTATTATATCCTCGCCGACTAGTTATACACAAAGTTACAGCAAGAAATATTCAAGTCCCGACCTGGAACAACTTCGCTTGCGTCCTTTTCACATTCAGGATCGAATCGGTGTAGAAGGTTCTACCTGAGCGTTGTATCATCATACCTCATGTTCCTCTAGGGTCGATGACCAGCTTTCGCCGCCCCTTACTGAATGCGACATGGCAGCCCTGTATCCTCATTCCTCTTCAACTTTATCGCAGGGAATTTTTGTCTGTTCTACCTAACGTAGTTGGACTGCTCTCAGGGAACAAATTTCTTTACTTCGGATATACCGAAGGTATCGTTTTGCTGGATCCAACTTACTTTTAACCACTGCGCTCGAGGTAGTTAGGTATGGTGTGTGCTTGACATCACCTATTTGGAGGGTTCTCGTACTAGACTGGCAGGGGCCTGTGGCTGTACTCAACCTTTGTGAGAATCAGTTAAGGGTAGTTGAGTGGTTTGGGTACCTCAGGTGCTTGCTCACAGCTGGAGGCGGAATTTGGAGAGAAATCTTATCACGAATGGGGAAAGTAGTGCAGCTTTTGCCGACCTGTGACATGTGTGCTGCCATCCGAATTACTCAATGTTAAGCTGTACGGATGCAAGACCTATCCTCTAGACTGAGGACGCTTAGGGATTTTCTCTATGCGATCACCAATGTCTTTGAAGCGTTGCTCATGTTCGATGGAAAAGTCCAGTGAGCGATGGTGAGATTCGACGTCATGTGTTGGATATCGACAATCCTTCTCTCAAAGAAGAAATCGATGACTTGGTCACGTTTCAGGTATTCCTGCCTATCGTCCGCTTCTCTATGGTCTCGATGCAATTTCTGGTCAAGGCCGGAAGGTGCGTCGCGGCGGTCAGATCATGACCTAGATATGAACAAGTTAAATCCCACATTGGCTTCAGTTTGAACAGTCTACCTTCCGGGTTGGGGCCAAAGGAATGATGATTGTCTGATTATAGACGCTGGCAGATACGGCTCAGAATATAGGCCAGTGGCAGGAATGCTGTACGGTCTGTTTGTTGAAATCCCCTCCCCCATAAAAGATCAGTAATTATAAAAATGTACTCAGAAAAACAAAAAGACTTGTTATTCTCTGCAATTGGTTTTTCCACATCGTTCTTACTTAAGCGTACAGGAGAGCTGTTCGAGATTTTCGCTAATTCGTTTTATCTGATATCAAAGAAATTTCCCATTGTTCCCACCGGTTGTTCTGTGAACCAATTCACTCGATGAAGCCGTTTTAGCATATACTTTATAAACATGTGATTCTGTTTTCAGGGTGGTGAAGTGTTGGTTCAAGGCTGGTTAATTAAAGAACGTTCAAGTTTGGGAGATGCCAGAGAATAGCAACGCCAAGGTTCCCAAAGGTAATTGTGCGAACTTCATAGAGTGTTTTTTAGATGGCCAACAGGCTGAACAAGAATTAGCATCCAGGACCCTCCGAATCCAGAACAAACGCTTCTATCTCGATGTCAAACAAAATCGCCGCGGACGATTTGTGAAAATTACTGAGGCTGGAATTGGGGGTCACAAATCTCGCATTTTAATGTCCATCACTGTGGCACTGGAAATGCAAGAAAAAGTCAGCAAGCTGAGCGACACC